CTGCATGTACTCCTCCGACTATACGTTGTTTTGATGGTTGAAATTTTTGTTTACCACATTCCTTTGGAAAGATGGACGATGATGTAGTTGTAGCCATTGCTTGACAACAGAGACGAGCCTGATTGTTGCTCTGCTCAATGCCAACTTGTCCGGCACATTCTTGGTTAGGTGTGTATGAGAATGACATTTGTCCACCAGTTACTGGTATCCATGAAGAACACAATTTTCCATTGTCACGAATTGTCAATTGATGTTGTCCATAGGTACTGGTAATAAAAACAACAAGAAATGCTGCGACTAATAACATTATTGAATTATGTTATTGTTATTTATTTCAGGATGAAATAGTCGTGGAAACTAAAGCTACTTATATAGGCTGTTTCTAATAAGCATATGGCAAGACCATTTAAGAACAAGAGCCTTGAAAATATTCAATTGCACTCTGTTCGATGGCAATTATTGTTGTTATTGTGTTTTTGATTGCTTTAATCCTTCTGTTTTTTTTTAAATTGATATTTTCTATGAAAATTAATTTAATTTCATAAGATTACAGCGCACATGGAACCCATGTGTTCGATTACGGTCAAATTGCGACTTAGTTAGAATGTAACTATGCCGTATGTGATAGAAGAGACGAAAACATTACTAGGCTTTTTCTTTGTATTAATATTTTCATTATTTATTACAACATCATTCATAACATTTTTATAAAAAAACCAATTCCTACACGTATCATAATTTGAATGGTATCAATATTTAAAGTCATTAAATCAAATTTATATTGTGTAATTCTTTTTGAACAATCTGGATATTAGACTAGCATTGTCATCTGTATCAAGAACATGATTGCACTGAAAGCGAAAAAATTATCCCAAGAAACCTTCAAAGGTTTCAATTCTGGTAACGAAATTGAAACTCTTTGAACTGCCGTATAAACAAGATTTTCTAAAGACCCTTTTCTCTATTCCTTGAAAATACGATATATCCTACGACTTTCCGGTTACATTGTTGCTTAAAGACCTATTCGAATATATTTAAACATATATCTGACGATCCGAGTCTTGCCAGCTCTCTCGGCTATATTTTTCTAACTATTGAACCTTAGAACTAAGGTTTTAGAGCAATATCTTTCGATATTTTTACAACTATGTATGTCTACTCTTACCCTTCCCTAAACTTTTCTATCTATCTTTAACTTCTTATTCTTAAATATAGCCTTATATCTATTGTTAACCTCTCATTTTGACAATGGAGAAAAGGCTCTCATACCAAAACATTATATTGAAAAATCTAAATCATGAATAGGTTTTGCAACATTTTCAAAAACCGTTTTGAGTTTTAAGAAATACGAAAACCCCACTGTGGTTCGCGATATGGTACCTTTTTCTTTCAATGCAAAAAAGATAGGCTAAATATAATTCAAAGATTGATGAATCTTGCTGCCGTAAGTAAAATCATTTACAAAGAATGTCTTCTTGCTTGATTCTCTTTTAAAATCTGCTTTTGCTTGCCAAATGTTTTTTAGAAGTATCTAGAGAGAAGAAGAATATTTGTATCAGAGATGCCGAAAAAATCACTTT